TTATTAAAAATTTATCATTTCTTTTATTCTTTATAAATTGATCCAAATTTATTTGTTTATAAACAGTATGATTCCGAGTGGAAATGGAATCTTATTTAATTTATACATTCTATTGCTAGGGCGTTATTTTAGTATCTATTTATAATCAAAGTATATTATAAGCTGCTTTTAGTTTATTAAAAATTTATCATTTCTTTTATTCTTTATTCTTTACTCCATACTAATTTAAAATATAATTTTGAAAACATAAAAATTAGTCGGGTTGTTCACAACCTTCAAGGTGCCGAATTATAAAAAAAAAATACTTATAGGAAGGAGCGTGAATTAAAAACCTTTTAATATTATAATTAATGTATTATTTTTCAGATTTGTTTAGAATTGGGCATTTGCATCAAATATGTGTGTTTCACCCAAGGCCAAAACAAATTGAAACGTTCTCTTGATATTAATATTTTTCATTTTTTTTTTTTTTTTTTATAGTACTATTACATCGTCTTTGCTTGTTAATTATATTTAGATAGTTTTGTATATTTGTAGGTTGAACTTATATTTTTAGGAGCATTTGCTGTGCTTTCATTTATTTATACTTTTTCAGAATGGTGTACGTATTCGGTTTATAAGACTTGATGGGTGGTTCGCGCATTCGTTTCATGTCAGTTTGGTATGGCTGTGGCCGTTTATATGCAGCTGCGCTTGTTGGTATTATTGATGGGCGTGCTATAAAATGTTATGCATTTTAAATATGTTATACATTTATATAAATTGAATAGGTATAGAGTTATTATATGTATAGAGATAGTTTGTTATTGCATAAGAATTAGTCATCATCAGTTAGCTCAACTGCATTTTAATATTTAGACATTTGCATAGATAATGCAATCAATTTGATTTATTACGATTTAGATTTCGTATCGACCCGCACTAAGAGAAGATCCCCCATTGTTAAGTTGTTGTTTATAGTTGGGATTTCTAAGGTATACTCGCTACGAATCGTTGGCTTAACTTACGTTTGGTGTATTCATATCCAGATGGTGCGCCACGCTTGGCCATGCGATGATCATACTCGTAGGCCACCTCTTCAGCCTCTTCGACTCTAAAAAAATTATATTATTATTGTAACAGTAAACAATGTTAAAAGCTCAAATATTTTCTGTTCTCTTCAGGTATACGCTGCCTCGTTCAGATTGTTTTCCATTCATTATTTGACGCTTACAGAGAATTGATTTAAAATTATACTTTACAAGTAACTTACTCGGGCGGATTTTCCGCTGCTCGCTTGATAAGATTCAAGTATTTCGGCGCACCACTGCTGCCGCCAAATTTCTTGTCAAAAACGGATCTGCAATTTAAAATTTAAGCATGTTATAATTTAAATTAATGTTTTATTATTTTTACGTACCTGTACGCTTCTAGGTTAGGTCCGTGTATGTTCTTGGCAGATTCCGGATCCATTTCCATTAGCTCGCGCAACTGTTCGTGGGAGACTTCGTCGTTTTTGTCTGGAATTAGATACTTACGGATCTCGGCCAACGCATAGGCAATACGAGCATAGCACTCAGCGGGCGTCGCCACAGTGCTCACTTCGAGAAACAGATCCTTCTGCAGATGAGCATAGCGCGGATCTCCAGAGCTGCGCAGCTGCTCCTCCTTGCCGCGATCGCGTATTGAGCTTCGCCCTTTGATTGCAATCTTGCATTGGGTTTCGTCTTGCAGACGACGCAATGAATTGCCTTTGGGACCCAGAATCTTACCAGTGAAGTTGAACTACAAAGAATATGCCAAATTTAAGTACCCCATTTGTTAGCTTTTCATTTCGTATTACCTTTGGATATTGCTTGACGGGCACGAAGACCTTTTGTGTGATTTTCATTGGCTTCTGTTTGTAAACATCGGCATAAAACTCGCGGCCAGGAATGCGGCCAGTGCAATAAACGCGATCCACAGCTGAAACGAAATACATGTATACATACATAAATCATAATACATGCTCGACATTTTTTCTTTTCTCCATTACCTTCGTCAATCAACAGCGCACATAATGGGAAGTCGGCGGACAGACGCTGGCGTTCCTCGTCTAAATCGGCCAAGAATTTTTGAGCAACTTCGTTCAAACGCGGCTGATGCTCATGTGGAGCTGGCTTTTCATTAAAATCGCTACTAGCACTATCCATTTTTTCCTCTTTTTTTCAATTAAATTCACGTGAAAATTGTGTATAATAGTTTGTACGCTTTTAATCTTCCTCTTCGATTAAATTTGTGAAATTTTCAGTGCCAGCTACGAAAACGATAGAAATGGCAGACGTTATCGATGCCGACAATATAAATGGCCTGCTGTCATCGATGCCAGCTTTATATCGATACTTTTTTGGCGGCGACATACCGTGTTGCACAAAGTAAACAGCATTTACCACTAAATCTGGAAAATAAAATTGAATTGCAATGGCAAGTGAAGATTTGTTTCGTAATGATTACTCCGAGGAGCCAGATCTGGGGCAGGAATTTCAAAAAGACGTTGAAATGAGTGCAGAGATGGCTGAACACGACACAGACGATGTTGAAAAATCCATTGGGCAAAACGGCACGAACAGCTCGCCAAGTGTCAATCAGCCGGCTGCCAAGAGCCCAGAGCAGACAAAAACAAGTAAAACTACTGGCGCTATGATTCATTAACAAATACAACAAATTGTTAATTTTGAATGTATCCGCAGCCAACGGCAACAAGGCCTCGGAGCATGAGCACGATGGCAAGCTCACGCAGCTGCCAATGGGTCGCATTCGAAACATTATGAAATTGGATCCAGATCTTCAAATCGCATCGAATGAAGCCGTCTTTGCAGTGACAAAAGCTGTTGAGTTATTTATCGAATCCCTGGCTCGCGAGGCCTACACCTACACGGCGCAGGCCAAGAAGAAGACCATACAAAAGAGGGACGTAGATCTCGCCATATCCGCTGTGGATAGTCTTATGTTTTTGGATGGTGCACTGAATTTTTGAAGGATCCCAAATAAAAAATTCCATTGTGATATTATAATTATTTCAACATGTTTTCGTTGAGTATCAAAAGGAAAACGCTATTTATTTTGTTCTATTATAATGTTGTGTTTATTTGGGGATAGTGTTCGACGAACACAGAGAAATAGATTAAAAATATTAAATTTTATTCATTCTATGTTTTCAATGCGCACATCATCGTTAAAAATTATAAATAATAATCAAGTATATTATACATTGTGTTTTTAGTTCTTCCTTTAAGTTTTAACGCATTTTTATATATAACGTGGAAAGCTCTGAATTTGAACGTAACCGGGCAAATTTTTGCATTATTTTCTTTTTTTTTTTTTTTATTGAAGCCGTTTGCATACTTACTTTGTCGTTGGGCGTTTCTGTTATTTTTATTTTATTTAATTAACTTTTATTGTTTATCTCTTCATAAACTTATTTGAAAAATTATTTCAAAACTTACGCTAACATTTTGTTTAGAATAATTAGGGGTTTATATTTTTAATTACGATTGCATATAGGTGTGTGTATAATGTTGTTGTTTTTGCATCTTTTTTCTTAAAGTTTAACTGATTTTGTGAATTTTACGATTTTTACAATATTTTGTTCAAGTTGGATATAGCTGTGTTTACTTTCCTTTCTTTTTTTGTTGCGTTATTAATATTTGTTTTGTTTTTTTCTTTCTGATTTTTTTTGTTTGGTTTAACACAAATGAAATATTTTAAACAACAATTACTATAAAATAGGTTTTGCATTTAAATTTTGTTTGGTTTTTTTTTTTTTTTTTTTATATATAAATAGTGTATGAATAGATTTTATGTATTATTATTGGTTGGATTATTGGACTTTAAACATTTTGGTATTTTTTGTTGTTGGTTGTTTTTTTTTTTTTTTTTTTTTAGCTTGGGATTTTTGCCGCTCTTATTGCTGCATAAAACTACTTAACTTTGTTGATTGGTTGGTTGGGTTGGGTTGGTTGGTTGGTTGGTTGATTTATTGTGAGAGATAAATTAGCGCATTTTAGGATATGGAGCCGAGCGATAACGCACGCTTTCACGAGAACGTGATCCAGTTTCATAGTGAGCCGATGAATGTGATCCCGAGTTCGATGTTGTGGGTCTATATGACGATGAGGAACGACCGTTGCTTGGTTTTGCTATTTTGGAAAGAATTTTATTTGTTGTTTAGATTTCAATTGTTTTTGTCTCTGTGCTCATTTTTTTTCTATTTTTTTTTTCTTTTCTGCATTTATTTATTTTTTTTTTTTTCTGTTTTAATTGATCTTAAAATAGGTAACAAACAACAAAAAAAAATATAAAGGAGTTTAACCGGTTTTGAATGCACTAGCCCCAGTAAATTAAAACATATTATTTTTTTTTTTTTTTTTTTTTTTGATTTTTTTCTTCAACTTTTTGCTTTACTATATCACAGATAAATATTGTTTCTTTTTTTTTTTTTTTTAATGTATGAGAATTGAATTGAATTGCTTTAAAAGTTTTGTGTTTGAAATGCTTTTGTACGAATTGCTGTTAGTAGAGAGTAGTTTGTCTTGAGCTTCTGATTTTGGTTTGCCATAATTGTGAGTTTTGAGAGTTATATTCGATCGATCGCCTGTCAGGCGTAGTGCATTTAAAATCTTGTTAAATGTATATATATAGATATATATGTGGATGGAACTTCCGTTTTTTTCTTTTTCATAATTTCGATTCGCGTTTTTCTTAACTTGATATATTTCGGTATTTTAATTTGCTTCTCTTGGTATTTTTTTGCGCGCGATTTATATTGTTTGCCTTTTTCTTTTGTTTTCTTGTTTATATGTTTTTCATTTGTAAACAGTCCAGCTGCGGAAAAGACATTAATTATCTAATTTCGACTGTTCTTACCTGTGTAGGCCGCCGCGTAGGATGAGGAAGACGAGTGCGGATGATACTCACGTCTATAGTCACGCTCATACGAGCTGCTGTCTGCATATTGGGCATGATGACTCGAATGCTTGGACGACTGGGGCGGAGGTGGCGTCGCATATCGATCATATTCCCCATGGTGATCGTATAGCTCATGGTCCCGTGATCTGCATAAACGAATACCAAATGCATTTCATACAAATTAATGGCAAATATTCTTAGTCAGGTTCACCTAGTCACCTACCTATGAGCCTTGACAATTCCGTAATTGGGATCGTCCATTACATAGCGGGCCTTTTCGAGAATTGAATACACCTTCGGCTTAGATGTGGCTGGCGGTGGTGTGCTAAATGATAATATAAAAATGATTCAATGCACTTTTTTTTTTTTTTTCAGCAATTCAAGAGAAATATCTATCTATACATAAATTAAATATCTGCTAGTTCTCTAGTTCTATAAATATTGGCCCAACATTGAAAAACAACATGTGAAAGTCTACTTTGAAAGAGCTTTACTGGAAACAACGGAAATTCGAGATTGCTTGGCGAACTGTACTTTGAAACTCTCTCAAATATCATTCCTATAAATTGATATAAACTGAAAAACTATCTATTTGCAATCTTAGGTGCATCGTTTAGGTTTTGATTATGCTTCTCAGACTGTGCAGTGCATTGTGTGGGTGGGTTGAGCTTACCGGGTGCTATAGCCGCCATGTTCTCCATAGGACTTGGAATAGTGATGAGATTTCTTATACATGCGCTCCTTGCCGTCCATTTCTCGCAACTGTTCGAGACGAATGTCATCGTTGGCGTCAGGTATCATAAACTTGCGTATTTCGCACAGGGCATATCCCAGGCGATGATATGCCTCAGCTGGAGGCGCTACTGTCGATATCTCTACGTGCAGATCTCTGCTGAGATGGGCATACTTTGGATTGCCGGAGCTGCGTAGCTCCTCCTCTTTGCCATGGTCGCGCATCGAATTGCGTCCCATGACAACCATCTTGCACATCGTTTCTTCTTGCAGCTGGCGCAGTGTGTTGCCTTTTGGACCAAGTATCTTCCCCACAAAATTGAATTTCGGATACTCTTTGATGGGAAACAGCACTTTCTGGGCCACCCTAATCGGTTTTTCGCTATACACATTCGCGTATATCTCTGGCTTTGGAATGCGACCGCTGACCAAAATCTTTTCCACCTCTGCAAACAATTATAACGATTATATCGTGCACTCAGCATCTACGTGTTCTATACGCACCATCGTCCAGTAGACGCTTTGTTATAATATGCTTCTTCTCTAGTGTCTTCTTTTCCATTAGGCACTCTTGCAGGTACGCGTTTGTTTTCTCATTCAGCTGTGGCGTGTCATGCAATGGGGCGTGACTAGTTGTGTGGCCATGGCTGCCATCCACTTCGGGAGCGTCTGCAGCGCTGCCGGCGCCGGCTGCCTCATCATCACGTCGTTTCCGCTTGTAATCAGCGGCGGTGTCCTCATTATAGTCTCTGTCGTAGTCTCGCGGCATTTTGTTTGAATAAAAACACTTTAAGTGTATATATCTTGGCCACTAATTACAAGTTTGTGGAAACTAATTAAGTCAGAGCGAAATTCAAAGTTCAATTGCAAAACTGATGTGCCTGAAAAAATTTTCTTTTATGTATGGGGTAATCAGTGTTGCCGTATTATATATTTTAAGGGATTTGGTATCTTTCGCATCTAATGGTAGTTGAAAACAGTAGTTTTCTAAATTACACCGTTTATGTTTTTTAGTGTTTATCAGCGAAAAATGTTTATTTAACTAAAAACATGATTTATTAGTGTAAATTTACGCGAGATAGATCGAAATGCAGTCATTATACAACTTATATCAGTCAGTAGAGTAAGAAACTATCAATATATTGTAATGACATTTAAGCAATTACTGCTGAAGGACATAAGAAAAATATTGTACAGACATTAGTCGCATTTTAATTCACTGTTTACTTAATCTTTCAATAAAAATGAGTTTACTAGGTAGGGTTTTTTATTCCCACACAATGGTAACACTACAGACAATATAAAGAACAAGCTACCGCTCTTCCACCACACTCTATCGATACTATCGTAATGAACATCAGATTGCTAGTGCTGGTCAATCTGGCACTTGGGCTTGTCAGGGCTGGACAGTGTGGGATGGAAAGCGCGTTTTTCTATATTCGCTAAATGTGTACACACTTTGATGGAAAAAGAGAGAAAAAATTAGGGCCACAAAGAGGTTGCAAACATATTTGATAAATTCAAATTAAATCGACTGCTCGGCGACGGGGCCATTAACATAAAACGCGCCACGCATTGTGCCGATTCGTTTTGGTAATA